GGGGCCGCCGGTCTCCGGTGGTGCAGAAGACGGGATTTAGCCTGTGTCTGTTCCCAAACATCCCCAGACACCCACGGAGGGGGCGAGGGGGGGCTGGCAGCCGCGTGGCCTACCTACCCCGCCTGCCCCACAGACCGCACCGTGCCCTGTGTCCCCCCGGCTCTGCAGGGAGTCCCCCTCTCCCGGGAGCCCCATGCAGCGCCCCAAGCCCAGCCCCAAGGGACGGGGATGCACCGGGGGCCGCTGGGTCCAAGCAGGGTCCTGGTGCTGAGCAGGAGCCCGGCCTGGCTGTGCTCGGCGCGGGCAGCTCCGCACCGCTGGCACGAGGTGCTGCCCTCCGGGCCTGGCGGTGCCGTGGTCACCGGGCAGGGCGGCGCGGTTGTCACCTGCGGGCAGCCGGTGCCGGGGCCGCTTCCTGCGCAGGCAGAGCCGGGGCCCGGGCCAGCAAGTGAAAGAGGGAACAGAAAGTCCCAGGTGCAGCGGGGCCGCAGGGCAGCCGGTGGCACACCAGGAGTTGTGCCGCCGGGAGCTGGAGCCGTGTGCCAGGAGCGAGGCCACCGGCCCTCCTGTCCCCCAGACCCTCTCTCGCCTGCGGGTCCATGCCCACGAGCGGCACAGCTCCACCTGGCCTTATCCTGACACCCCAGGGGTGCTGCCTGTTCCAGCCACAGCCCCGCATCCCATCCCTGTGCGGGGTCAGGTCTGTGATGGCCCCGGCGGGGCCGCGCGGGGTCCCTACTCTGCACCCACGCTGGCCGTAGGGCCAGTATTGGCCCCAGGACCCTCCTCCCTCCCCTTCCTCCAGGATGCAGGGTGCAGGATGGCACCCCCAGAGCCGGCACAGGGCAGAGGTCTGCACTCAGTGTCCTTGCGCTGCAGAAGGAGCAGGGGAGGGGGAGAGACCCCCCGGCAAAGAGCCCATGGGACACCCCGGGGCCGGGCTGCCTCTGCCCAGCCGCTCTCCAGCCAGGGCACAGCAGCCCCATGGCCCCGCTGCACCGCGGGCACTGGCAGCGAGCTCCTGGGGCTGGCAGGGACCCTGCCTGCTCCCCGCGCCTGTCTGCAGGCAGCAGGAGGGCCGAGGGCAGAGCTGGGATAAGCCACGGCAAAGACGGCTGCGGCGAGGAGAAAGGGGGATTGAGGGATTACCGTGGCAAACAGCAGAAAGCCCGTTAAAGCTGGGGATCAATTTGCTCCCCCGTGGGGAGAGGGAAGTGGGGCCTCTGCCCCGGAGGAACTAATCTGCCTCTTAACAAGGAGCTGGGCATTTGTTGTCAACAACCAGTGTCGCGCCTGCCCAGCGCCGCGGGGGCACAGGGGTGCAGAGGCGTGGGGGGGCGGGTGCGCAGGGGCACGAGGGTGCGGGGCAGGGCTGGGATCCCCGGGCAAGGGGGACACCCCGCACCAGCAGCCGCCCCTGTTCCCGGAACCACCACGTTTCCCGTCAGGACGAGCCGTTCCTGGACCAGACGTGGCTCTGCTGGTCCCGCTGGACCAGCGTCCAGCCTGCGCCCGGCTCCCTGCCAGCCCGCAGCAGCCCTCGCTCGTCTCCTTGGCCCCGCTCCCTCCAGCCTCCCCTCCAGCCCTGCAGAGGCAGCCCCCGCCGCGGGGCAGGAGCTGCAAACAGCCCTGGGGCAGGCTGGGGTCTCCTGCGTGCTCATGGCCCTCGGCCAGACCCCGCTCCCCGCGGCCGGGGGCTCCTGGGCTCGTCCAGCCCCGTGTGACAGGGGCTGAGCAGAGCTGCTATTTCTGTCCCTAGCGTGCAGATGCTAGCCACGAAGTAAAGATGCAGGATGGGCTCTGGAGTGGGGTCGCATCTGCCTTGGTTTTCCTCCCCGGGGAGCTGAGCTTATGCTCTGCCCCGCTCTCGGTATCAGGAGAGGCACGTGGTCAAACCACAGGCTGCAGAGCGCTGAGACGCAGACAGCTCCGGACCTGCTGGCCGAGGGGAGAGAGGTCCCGCTGCGCAATGCAGGAGCAGGTGAGGGGCCATGGGGCGAGGGGTTCGCTGGGGGCCGGGGGGGACCCCCTTCGCTGGCTTTTCTTGTTGCTTTTAATGGTTCTCGTGAGCCATGTGGGTTTGGGCTGCAAGGCAAAGCCCCAGGGAATGCAGGGCAGCCCCGGTGCTCCAGGTCTCCGGGGCCTGGTCAGGGAAGGAGCTGGGGGAGCTGCTGGGGAGTCAACCTGCCCCGGCACTGGGTTCAGATCCCACCTGCGGCCCCGGAGCGGGTGGGGGGATCAGACCCGGCCGCCTGGTCTCGCTGATGGGAGCCAGAGTGAAACTGCTGTCGTGAGGCTGCTCTGAGTCAGAGCCATGCCGGATCCTGACCTCCGTGGCGATGGGGTCCTGGCTGTCCAGTGCCAGTCTGCAGCACTGTCCCTCCACCCTGGAGTGGGGCTGAGAGGCCAGGAGCTGGGAGCACCGTGCACAGCTGCCTGCAGCCTGTCCAAGGCAGTGGGATGCCCTGGGACCTCCCTGGCTGGGAGCAGAACCAGGCAACGTGGAGCTGTGCCAGCACTGGTGTCCCTAGGGTTGTGCACGGGTGGGTGGGTGCTTTGGGCAGGTCCCCGCGCACACCCTTGGGGTGCACCCACCTGGGGATGCCTGCACGGAGCCTGGAGGCCCAGCTGCACGGCGCAAACAGGGCTGTGGGCTGGCTGCTGAGCTGCAGGGATCGCCACAAGCAGCTCTCCCATTGCAGATGCACCGTTAGGTGGTGGGACGTGGTGCTGTGCTGGGGATGTCACGGCCATGGTCACGTCTTCCCACCTGCTCTGGGCTGCAGGCGGCTGCTCGGGAAGCACGCAGTCACTCTCACAATGACTGAATGTGGTGAACCTCCCGCTGCTGTGGGGTGGGCGTGAGACAGAAACTTCCCTGCATGCGGGGCGAGGGGCCACGGCACGCCCGGGCTCCCCGCAGCGGGGCTGGGTGGAGGAGGGCTGCGTGCTGCGCTGCACGCTGCGGCCGGGCCTCCGAGCACCCCTCTCTCAGCATCCCTCTGCGCAGGTGACCCCCAGCCCCGCCTTGACGGAGCCAACTGCTACCACCGACTTCTACCCCTGGGAGGATGGGTACTCGTGGGAGGACGGAATGCTGCCCGAGCTCTGCGAGAAGCAGGCGGTGCAGGGCTTTGCCCGCACCTACCAGCCTGCCGTCTACCTGCTGCTCTCGCTGTTGGGCACGGTGGGGAACGGGCTGGTGCTGCTCACGCACACCCGCTACCGCCAGGCACACAGCATCACCGACGTCTGCCTCCTGCACCTCGCCCTGTCTGACCTCCTGCTGCTCCTGACGCTGCCCTTCGCCGTCACCAACACGCTGCAGGGCTGGTCCTCGGGCACGGCCACCTGCAAGGCGCTGCAGGGCCTCTACGCCCTCAACTTCTACAGTGGCTTCTTCTTCCTCACCTGCATCAGCGTGGACCGCTACGTGGCCATCGTGCGGGTGCCGGCTGCCCGCCGGCTGCGCCCCCCGGGGCCCCGCCCGGGGGGGGGGGGCGGGGGGGGGGGGGGCGCGGGGGCGCCCGGCGTCGTGGGGGGCCGGGCTGCCGGCCGGCGGCGCCCGCGGGCTCGCCGCCGTGGCTGGCTGACGGCAGGGCTGGCCTGGCTGCTGGCCATGCTGCTGGCACTGCCCCAGTTCATCTACAGCCAAGCGGAGCAGTATCAGGACCTCCACCTCTGCCGCGTCGTCTTCCCCCGCGCAGTCTCGCGGGAGGCCCGGGCGGCCACCAACCTGGTGCAGGTCGTGCTGGGCTTCGCGGTGCCCTTCCTGGTGATGGCGAGCTGCTACGCGGCCGTGGGCCGGACGCTGCTGGCGGCCCGTGGCGCCCAGCCTCACCGGGCGCTGCGGGTGCTGCTGGCCCTCGTGCTGGTGTTCGTGGCCCTGCAGCTGCCCCACAGCCTGATGGTGCTGCTGGACGCGGCTGAGCTGCTGGCCAACTGGGAGGTGAGCTGTGCCCACAGCAGCCGCAAGGACCTGGCGCTGCTGGTCACCGGCGGGGGGGGGGGCCCGCGCCGCTGC